AACAAAACAGTAGGTGTGGGTTACAGTCTGTGTTATTTTTGTTTTTTTTTTTTTTTTTTTTTTTTTTAATATCAACTAAAAAAAAAAAAAAAAAAAAAAAAGAAACACACAGAAGAGACCGGCAGCCTCCATGGGGAGACTACAAAAAATAATGTGGGGGGGGGGGGGGGGGGGGGGGGCATGCCCCCGAACCCCCCTAGCAACTCCCGCCTGCCTCGGTTGGCCGTTTGGTCTGGCTACGGCACTGCTTGTCATAGGTTAAAGTGCCCACCAGTACACTTCTTGTTGTACTTAAACTTGATTTAATTAGTAAACATCTCTAATCAACAAGTTACTCCACTTACCAATGTTTCTGTCTTCTTTTGCAGACGTTGGTAACCTAAAAAAATAGAAAAAAATAGGGTAGAATATTAAAAATTTATTATTTCCACAAGTTATTATTGAATTGATTATCATAATGAATTGACTCACTTCCACCGTCTTCCTCCTTTATCTCATTGTTGTAACAAAATAGTGCATGTGAAAAGAAACACTCTCCACACAAAAAAATGTACACTTAAAGAAGGGCTACAAAGAATAATGCTTATGTCCACTCTATTTAAGTGTAATGTTGGATGGCAAAAATGTATTGAATAACATTTTTAATTTTGTCACATACCAACCAATAAAACCATGTTCTTGGCAAAACTGATTTAATTGTTCCTCATCATAAGGATAATCTTCCAAGTCACACTACAAAATAATTTTGCATGAAATTATTTAAAGAATTATTACTTATATCACGGGTAACATATGACTCCTTGATTTTGGCAAGAGCACATCAAGAAGGTATTTTGTTTAAAAATTCTGAAAATATTGAACTTAAGCCAAGATTTAATCTCTAAACTTTTCAGTGTGGGGAGTTTTCAATTGATATGATAAACATGTTGATCAAAAACCAATAATTGTAAAGCATAATTTGTCACCCTTGATATAAAATAGGTAATGAAATGGTATACTGACTCCTAAAATTAGCCTTAAGACACCATATATATCTCGACTCAACTGCCAATCAAAATCTAGACCTGCCCTGTAAATGCTGAAATTATAATGAACAATAGAATAGCAGGCACATACTTTGTTTGCTAGCAAGAGAACAGGAATTGGCTTCTCATTGGTCAGCATTACTTTTTGATTTACATCCCAATGCCACTGATAATAAAAAGAAAAGTTGCTGAATATTAATTAGTAATCATGAAGGTCAGTTGAAAACAGTGCAGCTAATTAAATAGTTATATCATTTTAGGGTATCTCATAGCAGACAGATGCTTGTCATTCAGGAATAAATTAATTTCATTTCCTGTCTTCCCAGCACTCATAATTTTGATGTGTTTGTTGAACTTCAAATTTCATGTTTTTAAACTTTTTTTTTTAAGGTAGCCTAGCATTAACATAATGATCATAGGCAAAATAAAGCCAATTTTGGTTGTGCAAAAAAGGAAGGAAAAATGATCTTTTTTTCTTGACAGGTGCAGTGGATATTTACTGGTTCATTACTGAAAAGCTTTACAAAATTCATGCACCAAATTCCTGAATTTTTACAAAACAATGTCAACATAAAAAAAAAGTAAAAAAAGTGATAATGCCAATCACTGAGTGCTGAGATATTTTGTCTGTGAAGCCACACACGTACAGCAGCTTAATGCTAGGCACACCATATGGAATGCAAAAGAAACAACAACAACAACAACTCAAATAGCTGCAGCTGGGTTTTACGTTTTCTGAGCTACAGGCATCTGCAGACCCTGAGAGTTTCCAAAACTTCTTCTGTTTGGGCAATTAGTATGGTTTGGGCAATTTGTTTTTCATATAGTTTCCAATGTCCTTGATAAAAACCTAGTTCATCTCAGGCATCAGGCCAGGGCAAAGAGACTTGGCAAAGACAAATGGGACTCTGGATACCATTGCCTTCTTCTTTGTTTTGACAGCCTCTACCCAGTACATTCAAATTAAAAGTGATTTACAACATACACAAGATGTTGTGTGATATGTTAAGGCAATAGACCCTTGTATATTAGAGCCACGACTTTGTATTTACATCCAATCAAACAATTTATTGAA